TCCGGAATTACGATGGCACACCGTTTTTCCAGTGCATACGCCTTTCATTATTAGCTATTTCATCTCCTAGTACGTACATTACTAATAATACTACAGAATAACAAACTGCAAGATTCCTTAATTGGAATCATGGATTAACGTCTAAATTTATAAACAAAACCAAATATTAACTTATAAATCGAATAAGAATAACAAACTGCATGATTCCTTAATTGGAATCATGGATTAACGTCTAAATTTATAAACAAGACCAAATATTAACTTATAAATCGAATAAGAAACAAACTGCATGATTCCTTAATTGGAATCATGATCAACGTCTAAATTTATAACAATACAAATATTAACTTGTAAAACGAATACTTAGGCCTTTTAATTTAATGTGAACATTGATTTTGAAATCCAAATCTTTTTCTGAGGTCTCCACCATATATAATCTCCACCGTATATAATCTCCACCGTATATAATATCCACCGTATATAATATCCACCGTATATAATATCCACCGTATATAATCTCCACCGTATATAATCTCCACCGTATATAATATAATATCTACCGTATATAATCACCGTATATAATCTCCACCGTATATAATCTCCACCGTATATAATCTCCACCGTATATAATCTCCACCGTATATAATCCACCGTATATAATCCACCGTATATAATCCACCGTATATAATCTCCACCGTATATAATCATGAACTTTCCATTCAATAAAGATGACCTTATGCTTTCATATGATCCCTTAGATCCAAAAGTTCAAGCTGTTTATAAAGACTTGAAAGAAGTAGTCGATAATTTGGTACAACCAATCCATGGAAATAATGTACACCTGGAAACAAAATTAGTCTATTATTTAGAAAGAATTGATCAAATTTTCAATCCGAAAAAAAGAAAATGTGGAGATGGTGACGATGACAAAGATCAAAGTGTATTGGGTTCAAATGGTATGTATTTTAAAACTCATCATGTTACTCATCATAGACTTAAAAATAAGTTAGTACAAAATTACTTTAGCAATCGACTTATATTTAGATCTTAATACTTTTTTTTAGTAGAAAGGACTGGTCATTCTCGTCGTCGTCGTCTTCGTCGTCGTCCTCGTGGTGGTAAAAATTATAAGGATTCTTTGATCGTCTAATATTTTATGATTTTTGAAAATTTATTACTTTTCCGAAATAACTACAATAATAAGCATTTAAGTAGAATCGCTTTCTAAATTAGATTATATAGTAACCTTTAATGAATGCACCTCCTTGGTAATATAAATGAGATTTAAATTGTGCATTGAAAGAGGATGACTGTATTTTTTGGCATACTGTATTTTTTACGTATTCTTGTTTTCTATACTGATAAGAATATAATTCGAATTCGTCTGCGGGGATGTTTAATTTGTTATACTTTAAACTGTAATAAATATTATTCAAAACCTATACAAAACAGAAGTAAATGTTTAAGTGTACAGTAATATTTCAGTAAAAAAACAAAAATAAAATAGGAAACAACAGATACCGATGATCACTTGATATATAACGTACGTCAAACTATAGTAGAATTTTCGTCAGATTTTCTCGACAGCTATCCAATAGAATTCGATGAAAATTTTTTTAAATAGATTCTGCGAATTGGTAGAATTTATTTTAAAAAATTTCATCGAATTCAATTAAATAATTGTCGAAAAATTTTCGTTCAAAAAGGTTTGAAAAATTTTCAACGCCTCAAGAAAATAGCTGCGGCCGAAATTTTTCTAACCTTTAAACAAGAATTTCTTGGCAACTGTTCAATAGAATTCGATTCTATGAATTAGTAGAATTAATTTAAAAAATTTTCATAGCTGTCGAGAAATTTTCGTTTAAAGTTTGGGGAAATTATTAATGCCTCAAGAAAATAGCCGCGGCAGAAACTTTGAATGAAGTTTCCTTGATAGACTTCGATGAAAATTTTTTAAAATAAATTTTACGAATTAATATAATTCATTAAAAAATTTTCATCGAATTAATGTTGGGTAGTTGTCGAGAAACTTGTCCAAAATTACGAAAAATTACACTTCGATACGTTATGCGTCACGTGATCGCCGGTACGTGTAAAAATCGTGTTTCCTTATCAGTCACACGATTTGTCACGCAGATCACAGGTGTACTATGAAATTTTAGTGATCGACATTCATATGATCAACCCATTTTTCATAGTAAATTGCCTTTTTCAAATGGCTTTTTCAGGGGTTTCCTAAAAGGAAATATATTTGCATGCAAAGTAACGTCAGTTTATTGTTATAAGCACTCTTCGATTTTCTAAGTTTAAAGCTGAAAAATAATAAAGCTGAGAAAGATCATGCCTGCAA